GGAATACCTTTGCAACCTGGCTTATAGGCCAAGAGAAGGAGGAATACTTTTACAGCCTGACTTATAGACCGAGAGAAAGAGGAATACCTTTACAGCCTGGCTTATAACCCGAGAGAAAGAGGAATACCTTTACAGCCTGGCTTATAGCCCGAGAGAAAGAGGAATATCTTTACAGCCTGGCTTATAGGCCAAGAGAAAGATGAATATCTTTACAGCACGGCTTATTGGCCAGGAGAGGAACAAGTCTTTCCACCACATGGCCTCTACAAGATTCCTCCGTCCCCCTCGCACCCCCCTCCCCCCGCCCCCCCCTAACCCCACCACACCAACCGGGGCAAACAATGTATGAACCCTCCACCAAAGGAGTCAAGAGATCATAGCCCCCAGCAGTGCCCTCCCCTCAGGCCAGATCAGGCCTGTCTCATCGCATAGGCTTCTCTGGAAAGCTCCCACCTCAGTTGGAAGCCAAGGCCATCCGATCAGACTAACTGCCAGCTGTGGAATCGATCAGCGCAAGTGCGCTGCAGAGTTTAAGCTTTAAAATCGCACGGGGAAACTGAAACATAGCTCCAGTCTCCAGCCCAACGCAACCCCAGCACGCAAAATTCAGTTCCTGCGTTTTAGATCCGTGACAGCTGTGATTCAATCCGCTCAGTAATAGAACATTTAGCAGCAGATGTTGAGAATGCAATACAGTTTGGGAGAAGTGGATGACGGAAATACCAGTAAAGCTTGTCGGTGATGCACACTGGTCTTCCTTCCCTCGAATGGCGGTACATTTATCCCCAAGTGATACTGGTTTTGTTTTCCCTCAAGGGCATTGAAGAATGTCAGTCACCATCGAGCGAGCTGTGGAGTTATCGAGAGCACACAGCCTTAGGTTAAGTGGTCTGCTTCCGTCTTTGACGTGAATGTCTCCTGTAGTGAAATCTCATCTTTCTTTGAGTCCGCATCTTTCTCCGCACTTCTCTTGGCCCTGAGCAAGAACACACTGCAGATTACCGACTGTAGAAGGTGTTGCAATTTCATCTGTGGTCTTTCTCACTCCCACCCCCACCTCTTCTTCCAGAGACGCTGAACCCGAGCGATCTGATGATGCTGTGGTTTTAACGGGATATTTTGTCCTGTCTTTTTTTTTTGCATTGTTTTAAAGAGAGGTTTTAAGACAAGCTGTCTAGTTAGGAAGCCAGGCTTGTTAGCTTTTACAGATTTACAATGATGTTGCCGGGGATTGGAGAGTTTGAGCTATAGGGAGAGGCTGGGACTATTTTCCCTGGAGCGTCGGAGGCTGAGGCGTGACCTTATAGAGGTTTATAAAATCATAAGGGGCATGGATAGGGTGAATAGCCAAGATCTTTCCCCCAGGGTAGTGGAGTCCAAAACTAGTGGGGCATAGGTCAAAGAAATACGTATCTGCACCCTTAGGTCCCTCTGTTCTACAACAGCATGCAAGGCCCCACCATTGATTGTCTAAGGCCTACCCTTGTTTGTTTTACCAAAATGAAACACCTAGCATATATCCAGATTGAACTCCATGATGAGAGTGTGACCAACTATGTAAAAGGTTGCTAAGGGAGAAAAGGTGCCAGGGATACGGTCTCAGGGAAACAGCTCCGAATTCCTGATGAGCGATTCCAGACAGCGTTACGCGGTGGGGATCCTGGACTAATGGGTGTTGGGAATGTGAGTCAATGCAGTGGCTAAAGGACAGGGAAGCCAATATTCTCCAATGGCGTGTTACCTGTGGGTCAACAGGCAGCGCCAATCAAAGAGGAAATGCTGGGTATTACAAACCTGTTCTCCACCTCCTCAATAGTGTCTGGCAGTGGGATGTTGAGAGTTTCTGGAAGAAGAAAGCCGGCAATTCCGGAGATTATCGCCATGCCGCCGTAGATAGTCATGGGCAGAAACGCAATGTAATCGCCCGTCATTTTCACAACTGGCGCCACCATTGCTCCGAAGCGGGCCATCGTGGTCACGAGACCCATTCCCGTCTGCCTACAGAGGTAAGCAGAGAATCAGAGGCTGTTGCTAGATCGTTGCTCACATCCCATGGTCATGAAAGGTGCTGACTTTTGCTTGCCTCGGTTCCACAGTTTCTGGGCACTAGTGAGGACCTTGTCCACTTCACCATTCTTCGTTTGTGAGACTATTGCACTGCTACAGCCTTATCTAACTATGCTCTCACCTGCTATCCATGACTTATTTAATTTCATTGAGTACCTCGAGTTGAGCCTGGCCAACAATTATAGCAGGTTCAGGACAGGTCTCTGCAGGCTAACAATTAAGGGATCGAGAAGGGGTGTAGGGAAATGCATTGAGGAGATGATCAGCTATGATCTTCAGGCTCAATGGGCTAATTGGCCTACCCCTGCTTCTATGAACGGCGTAAGGCACCTCCTGGTTTTGAGGCTCCTGCTCTGTAAAGTCTCAGCAATATGTCAAGCAGGTTCTTTACCCACTAGCCCATTCAGGGAGCCCTGTTTTTACGGGCCTTAATGGCAAAACATGTTTGAACGCCGCTCACATTGTATCTCAGCCTCCTTCCTATCTTTACCCAAAGAACGTGACTCGCTCTCCCAGTCCAGCTTCACCGGCCTCAGTTGTAACACAAAAACAGGAGAACCCACCTGACCACGGTTGGGTAGAGTTCTCCAGCATGGAGATAACAACAGCTGAATGCAGTCGCAAGGCATCCCTTTCCAATAGCAGCGAGTGATGTACGTAGGGCCTGCATGTCTGCGAGAGGGATAGAGGAATGGGAGCATCAATGCGAATAATGTTTAATGCGGGGTTTGGCACCTTTCGACGATGTCACACAGCTCACATCGGAGCCGGGAGAGAGGAATAACAAGAGGAAAGGCTGTAGAAACTCAGCAGCGGCTCTGGTGGGATCAGTGGAGCGAGAAACAGAAACAGAACTGGCTGGTAAAGTTCAGCAGGTCTGGCAGCACCTGTGAAGAAAATAAATCAGAGTTAACGTTTCAGGTCCGATGACCCTTCCTCTGTGTGTGTGTGTGTATGTGTGAGAGTGTGTGTGTAAGTGTGTGTGTAAGTGTGCGCGTGAGTGTGTGCGCGTGAGTGTGCGAGTGTGTGTGACAGAGAGTGAGTGAGAGTGAGTGTGTGTGTGAGGTTGTGTGTGTAAGTGTGAGTGTGTGCGTGTAAGTGTGTGTGTAAATGTGTGTGAGAGTGTGTGTGTGTCAGAGTGTGTGTGTGTGTGTCAGAGTGTGAGAGTGAGTGTGTTTGTGTGTGTGCGTGTTTGTGTGTGTGCGTGTGTGCGTGTGCATGCGTGTGCGTGAGTGTGCGTGCATGTGTGTGTGCGTGCATGTGTGTGCGTGCATGCGTGTGCGTGTACGCGTGTGTACATGTGTGTACATGTGAGTGTATACGTGTGAGTGCGCACGTGTGAGTGTGCGTGTGTGCGTGAGTGCGTATGTGCGTGAGTGTGTGTGTGAGGTTGTGTGTGAGAGTGTGTGAGAGTGTGTGCGTGTAAGTGTGTGTGTAAATGTGTGTGTGTAAATGTGTGTGTGTGAGAGTGCGTGTGATGTGTGCGCGTGTGTGTGTGCGCGTGTGTGAGTGCGCGTGTGTGAGTGCGCGTGTGTGAGTGCG